TATACTACGAAAATAAAGGTCGGATAAGGGAGGTGTGTGTGTTTAAACTTAAAGCATCTAAAATTAAAAAAGTAAATTGGAGATTGGAATCAAAGCAAGACAATTTCTAAACAATATTAATAATTGCAACCTTGTATAAGAGGTTTAACACAATATCTAAAATAAATCAAAATTAAAATAAGAATTCGTTGTTGTAGTACAAACTACATAGTAGTGCAATATATATATATATATACAAGAGTTTGGTGTTGCCAAATGCGAAACAAAAAAGAGGTGCAGAACTAGATATTATAGCTGTGCCATATATAAAATTCCAACGTTCTACGGCTAATAGTTTATGAGTTATGTGAGATAAATCCGTATGTACGTAGGGACGTCACAAAAATTCACTTTGAAGTCTGCTATGGAATAAAGAGACCTTTATTATGTCCGTACATATAGACGTCAAGCAAAAAGATGGTAAAAATAGATTCGGGCACAGTCAAAATGGATAAGTCGGTGGAAATCTGCTGAAATCCGAAATTTTGCATGATTATAATACTTCCTTTATTCCGTGCAAGGAAGTAATAACTAAGGATTGTGAAAATCATTAGTAGTACTATTATCACATATTTTAATAAAATAGTTTGATTATTTTACCAATTTTTAAAAATGTGACTTTTATCGTAGAGAAGAATATTGAGCCATATAGGAAAACGGAGTTATTGCAACCATCTGCTATATGGGGTTACTATATTAAAACAAAACATTGGTCTTCTTTTTCGGCTAATTGTTCTTTATGTACCTTAAGAAGTCTCCTTTTTTAGGTTCATGATGATTCATTACGAGTTTTCCCAGTTCAGACTTGAGGAGGCGGGCACAAAAAATCGAGACATTTCAGGATTTCGTTTCTTCCTTTTTTAGATGTTTCAGATGTGAACAAAAATCCTACCATTTTAGCCTTTCTGTTTTTAACCTTTCATTATATTTGGTGGGAATGTAACGTAAAATTAGTGTATTTTAAGTTACTTCGGAAAACACTATGAGCAAAACATGGAAAACCGACAAAAAGAAATATCTTAGATTCCGAAAAGAACAATTATTTCAGCCTTAAAGAAGCCCATAAGAAAGAGACAAAACTTTTGTTTTAATACCATATACAGTAACTCCGATGGGCAGATGGTTGTAAAAAAATAATTTTTTCTATATATGGCTTAATATTCTCCTCTTCGATGAATGCCTCATTTTTAGAAATTTGTAAAAGAATTAATCAGTTTTATTAAAAACTAGGGGAAGCACGCTATGCCAGTTAAGTTAAATTGAGAGTAATGTATCTAATAACAGAGAGAACTGTACCGCTGTAATCCTTTTCTAAAACGATGCAAAAAATATGATTCATAGTCTTACATTTTTCAGTTTGATCGATAGGGAAACCCACATAAAAAATTTCGATAGAAAAATGAACTAATTCTCTCTCATTATATCAGCAACAATGGCAAGCAGTGTTTAATATTTGCTAATCAAATGGGCGTAAAAGCTCAAGTTCCATCCAATATTTCACCTATATTCAATTTTAATCGATTAAATGTAGCAATAAATTGATCGTAATTGATCAGAAAATAAATAACGCGAACAAACAGACAGACAAACAGGAATTCTTCTTTATATATATATATATCGATAAATATAAATTTAAACAAATTTAAATTCTTAACAAATACGTATAAAAGTAAAAAGGTAAAAAAGCAAATTTAAATTCTAAAAAAAGGAAAAAAGCCAAAGTAATTTAAAATAATTTAAAAATATGCAAACATGTAAAAGATTTAATTCTCGAACTAATCTACAAAATCATTTAAATTAAGAAGCATAAGCAAATCAAGTGCAAAATCTATCCATGAAAATAAATCTACAAATTAAAATTAAATTAAACATTTTTTTTTTAAATGCATATGTGAATGATCGTAGAGTAGGCAGGAGACAGACTTATCAAGGGGAAGTTGCCTCCAAACCTAACTCTCCAATCATTCAATTCGTGTTTCGTCATTCATGCAGGCAAGGGTAAAAGTCAAAACCAAAAGTAATTCCAATAAAGTGGTACCCTTAGAAATTAACATTTAATTATTAACATTTAAGAATTAAAGTTCAAAGAGGAAAATACTAATTAAGTCTTTTGAGAAACAAGCAAGTATAGTCAAGAATTAAACTTTTTTCTTAAAAAATTAAATTTTTTTTAAATTAATTTTTTATAAAATAATAAAACAAATCTAGAAACCAATGTATTTTAGAAATCCTTTCTACAGAAACTTCCCCTACACGAATATGCATATCAATAAAAAGAAACTATAAAAGAACTATACATAATCCATATAAACCAATAAGAAATCGATAAATATATAGATTTATATATATCGATATATATAGATTTATATATATCGAATATCGATAAATAGATAGATTTTGTAAAACTTACAAATTTAACTCTTACGATTTGAGAGCGAGCAGTAGTAAACTTTCGAACACTTTCGAAACTTTCGTAACACTTTTCGAAATAAAGCATTTTTATCTCGAACGCGCGATACTGTTCCACTCGAAAAAATGAGTGCAAAAATTAGTATTTTCAGAGTTTTTAATTAATATCTCGGCTGACTAAAGTCGTACGAAAATGAGAACAGTCGAAATGGCTTCCCATGAATTTCTGGAATCCCGAATAACGTATTCAATGTTTGCCAATTCTATTTTTATTTCATTGTAAAACTTAGAAATTTTTTGTTAAAATTTGAAACTACTCTACATTAACTTTACATCTGAAAGCGAACGGTGGCAACACACTTCGAAATAAAGCAGATTTTTATTAGCGTGGGAGACTGTTGCCACCCGGAAAAACGAGGATGAAAATTAGCGTTTTCAGAGTAGTTAATTAATTTCTCTGTTTTTTTTTTTTTTTTTTTTTTTTTTTTAAAGGGAATTTCAACTTTTCCGGGACCCAGAAAAAGATTGCAGAAAGTTTGGTGACGATACCTATAGTAGTGACTGAATTAATCGCGAACAAACACACAAACAGATGTTCTTTCTATATATATATATGTATACTTGTATATATACAGATTATGGAATCCATAGGAATGATCGTATATGAAATCTGTATTTTCATAGTTCTTTAAAACATTGTATTTTTAATCCAGAGTTAATAACAGCCAAATCCTCAAAAGCTTTTATTTTTGCTTTCAAAATGTAGAATTCTCAAAATCTTTTAGCCGTAAATAATCATTAGAAATCACTATATCATATTTTAAGATAATAATAATGAGTTGTAAATTAAATTTTAAAACGTCTTGTTTCATGTATTTAATGTAAACAGCAGCGTCATTAACGGTTAATGCCAGACTGCATTTTTTCTCACTGACAAGACTTACTACGTTTCATAACATGTGTGGTATTCTCTGCTATTAAGTAATGAAGAATCCGTATGTATGCATGTTTTGGCATTGCGGAAAAAGGGCAGAACCTAGACCTTCCAAATTTCGTATATACATCGCTCCTCCCCTCGAACACGGGCACCTCGAAGCTAGAAATCTTGAATTTTGAGTTTGTTTTTGAATTATTTTGCAGGAATTTAACGATTTTTTTATTAAAAACTCTACTATTTTAAAGCGAGCAGTATTCGAAATAAAAAATTTTTATTTTCGGCACGCCAGACTGTTGCCATTTGACAAAATGTAAAATAGTGGTCTTTCAATTCTCAATAAATATATAAATTTGTAATCATATTGAAAACATTTAATAAACTTCCATATGTGCATCCCGGGCAGCACAAAAGAAATCTGCCAATATATTCAATTCCACGCCATATATTCCTCTATATTTGATGTCATTCTGAGAATGTCTTCTGTATTGAGCTGTCGCAAGAAGCCATCAGAAGCTATTGTGTGATACACAATACATTTAATATACCCCCAAAGACTAGGGGCAGGCTGTCAGGAAAAGTGTATGGCGTGAAACTGAAAACCCACTGGATATTTTGCGTGCTATCAGGAATGTGCATGTGGAAGTTTACTAAGCATCTTCGACAGATTATAAACAATGGCAAAATTATTCGTTTGATATTCCATTAAAGGGGAATGGGGATGATCTCAGCAACGAGGTCAATTTGCAGCAAGACGGCCATTGTTGACAAAGGAGCAAGTATTTCTTAGTATTAAGACATAAATCGTCCCAGCTTCCTTTATTTTACGGCACGAAAAATGCAACCTTCGTGAAGATTCCAGTATGTTTCCTTTAAGATCTATGAGAACAGTTGCTGACTTGAATAAAGGTGCCGTCATCTTTTGATGAAAGTCCACCATTATTCATCAAGGCATAAGAGGTGCTCAGTATCCTTATGAAGTTCAGTTTACGCCATGAATAATGCAACCTTCATCAAGATACCGGGAGATACATGGTCGGATTTTTATTTAAGTGAGTAGGCATTGACGTGCATAAAGGTGTCCGCACCCTTATGAAGTTCAGTTTAGAACTTCAAGAAAGCGACTTCCATTACAATGGCGTAGCTTTAGGATAGTTGCTGTCTTGGCAAAATCTCCATCATAATGATGAGGGCACCTTTATACAAGTGGTTCCCTGTTGCCCAATGATGCCCTAGCATAAAGCCCTAGCATAACACCCCCTCCAATCTGATGAAATCCTCTCATAAAGGTACTGCCACCATTATAAAGTTTAATCTATAACTTGGAGAAGGTACCTTTTGTCGAGGTGCGGCCACCTGTATGGTGGCTTTTGTCAGGTGTAACAATTGCTGACTTGTATAAGGGTACATGCTTCTTTAGTGACAAGACAAACCTACAGCAATAGGCGTCTCGGGAAATTTCCCCAAATTCCCGATAATCCCATCCATGCCTATGTTCTTCGTTATCTGAGCACAGTCATGAGTTATCATGCTTTAAAGTCAGCCTAAACATTTTTGGACACCTTATTTTATTAATGTTGCGTCGAAAGAGTTAAGTAATAATTAGAGATGAACTTACCCACACTTCTGGACTGACTAGATAAAGTAGAGGATTTGCTCTGAGTCGTTCTGCCTCTTCCTGCTGTCTGCGGATTGCCTCTCGCCTTTGGCTGCTCAAGACTGCTATAGTTTCCCTCGTCAAAACTCTGGGTTCCGAGCTTCCAATGTTGCTAATGTCGGGTAGGCTATTTTTTCTAGCACTGGCTATGGAACTGTTCTTGGAAGACGCTTCCATTTTGCGTGTGGCGCTGTACAAGGATCCCGTCCTCACCATCCCGTCTCCAAGACCACTCATCCCATCTTGATCCACTTGGTCGAGAACTGTGGGCAAGGTGGAACGCCTCTGGGGAAGAAAAGGTGTACCTTCTTCATCCTCCATCTTGGGAGGGGTAAGGGGTATACCGTATATTCTGGACAATTCCGACAAATCGATGCCCGGCTTTTTGGCGGCTCGCTTGGGCGTCGGGCTTTGGTTGGGGTTGGTCTCGTAGTAGTGACGAAAGTGTTCGTCGACGACTTGCTGTGCAGTCAGCGGGTAGTGGTACCTGTCTCCTGTCGGGTTGTTTGGAATAGGTTCTGAGCGCTGCTCGAAAGAAGAAGGAACGAGTTTGTGTTCAACAACAACGGATGGACGTCTGAAGTTCGCAGCGGATGGACGCCTGAGGAATCCGGCTGCCGATGGCCGACGGTCGGGGTTGTTCCGGAAGATGTCGAGAAGAGCAGACTGAGCGGGAGGGATGCTGGGCTCCGGAGGGAGGCTTAGATGGACGTCGTCGAACTCAGCCTTCTGTGGAAAAGGATCCCTCGAAGATCCGACGGTTTCTGGATTTCCAAAGTGAAATGTTCGCTGGGAAAAGTCCTCACCAGTGTGGTAATGTCCAAAATCTGATGATTCTTGACTAGAAGGGAATTTTCTTTTCAAAAATCCTGTGCCTGAAAATGAAATTAGTCAGTAAATCAACATAACAGATATTTAAAAAATCATTATCATTGACAGAAGTCATAGTTCTACTATTAACCTATTCTCGAAAGTATGATTGTAGTTTGACAACCGTGGCTGGTATTCTGCCAAAACAACAGTCTCGAAGGGATGTTAATTATAGCAGTGGTCTCAAACTTGCGGTTTCTGAAGCAAATTTATACATCCTGCGAATACATTTCAGTATGTATTTGGTGCAAATACAATACTTACTTTGAAGACATAATTATAGATGCGGTAAATCAGAAAAACGCCTTTGCTCATTCGAACGAATAGCTCATTCGCCTGGAATTGGATCCGAACTACCAGTGTTCAGAGACTTTACTTCTCGGTTACTGGTGGAAGGAAAGTAAAACACAATAGGTACAATTGGGGATCTACGTTGGTAGGTGCACAGTCGTTATAAAAATTTTATACGGCAGCGAAAACATTAATATTCATAAAGAAGTTTTGGAAGTATGGTCACTATATATAAATATCCGGTTGTAACGAATGTTTTACGCCAGAAAAAGTCTTTTTTAAAGTTAGGAAAACAACACGAAAGTAATAATTTTAGTGCGGGTAGTAATTAGCACCCAAATCTATGATTTTCAGCCAAAGGTTTGGTAATTTTTCAGAGCCTTCGGCCCAGAATTTTTGTGGTCGCGAGTCCAAAAACAGAACAACTTCACTTCAGACATCCTGTGCAGAAGGGAAGATAGCACCAGTAAGATTTAGTTGCTGCAGATGTGAAAAAAGGAGCGATGCCGGGACTATAGTTGGTGGGTATGGCGAAAGATCCCATTCGAGTCCGCACAGAGTCCAGCCGGTGAACGCAAACACATGCGGTCTTGCATTATCTTCATGAAACATTTCCTTTTTGTACCGGAACTCAGTTCGACGTTTTTCCTTGAAAGCTGCGTCAACACGGGATAGCATCTCGCTGTACACCTTACTGTCGAGATGTACAGCGAGACCTTCTTCCTTTTTCCAGATAGCCTTTGTTGATAATACCACCAGATACAAAGCATGATCTCTTTGCTAGTCAAATTACGCTTTGCGACGCTGCCGGGAACAGACCAGCTCCTTTTTGCTTGTGTTGTTGAAATAAATCCACTTTTCATCACGAGTGACGATCGATCCATTATTTTGCCCTTGCGTTTATATTCGAGTAGATTAGTGTAGGCCCGAATACGTCTGCTCTTATCTGCTGGAGCAGTGGCGACTCGTAATAAGCACTGTGGAACTGCAGCACCCCCAATTTCCACTTATTATTATTTTTAATATTTAATATAGTGTGCCCTTCAGTCTTTAAGTCTTTCTTTATACTTTTACAATATATAATCCTTAAGCTTTATGTCAGTAGCCATCCCCCACTTTGTCAAAAAGGTACGAAAGTCTTCGGAACTGCGAGCTTCACAGTTCCAGCGATATGGTGTTTGGCTGCGCATGCGCACACAGAAAGCAGCACGCGAGCCGGGCAGCGAGAAGAGCACTGTCGCTCTTGCAGTGCCGAAATTCTGGCATGTTGTTCGAAAAGTGATTTCTTTTTTACTCCGCGCAAGTGGTATTCCTCTACAAGGTGGAACTTCATCATACGGACCATAACCAGAGTTCATGAAAATTTGCAACCTTTTAAAAAATTGCCTTAGTGAAATTCAATCAACATCAAATGCAGAACAACAACAAATGAAACAACTGTTCCTATTGCAAAAGCAATAGGAATTTTAAAATATCTAAATGATGATAATTTCAAATTTTGGTTAGAGCTTTTTTATCAGATGCCTCATGTTGAAAGAATATACAATCAAATGCAATTCAGAGAAATTAGTGTGTTTAAAGTTAACGAATATATAACAAATTCCAAAACTGCTATCTTAGAATTAAGGAACCCAAAGTACTGTGAGAATTTTCCAAAGACACCGATGGCAGAAGAATAGAAGGAAATATAGTTATTTAATATAGTGTGCCCTTCAGTCTTTAACTTTATACTATGCATTGATATAATGCAGATATATTCTTCCACTAAACACTTAGCAGCTTCTAAATTGTTAAACAAGAAATGCTTCGCTAGTTTTAGGAATGAACATTCTGCAGAAGAAATAGTACTGACCGCTGAAGCATATCCAATGATTGACAAAGGAAAGCTTGAAACTGAACTAAAAGTATTCTTTTGTAGGTCTGATATCCATGAATACTACAAATTAAATGAGCTACTGAAATTTATCTTCGAAAATAATCTAGATGATGTTCTTAGTGGAATTACGAAACTGATAAAAATTCTCTTGAGAGTTCCCATGACTACATCAGAGGCAGAACGCTGCCTTTTCAACATTGAAAAGAATGAAAACTGTTCTAAGAAGCACTAGAATTCGGAAAGATTAAATGTGCTTGCATTGCTTTCAATAAAGAAAAATTTCTTCAGTTGAAATCCAGAGATCAAGGAGAAAATTATTGATTGTTTCGCGCAAAGTAAAACAAGAAGAATGGATTTCATTTTTAAATGAATAGACAAAGAGTGAACTGTAAAAATTTTGGTTAAAGTAATTATGAAATGCTTTTATTGTAAGATTTCCTGATGTTTCAAAATAAATTTTCTTTTTATACATGTTTGTTTCCGTTCAGACAATTTTAAAACAAAGGTTAAATTTTTTTGGAATAGCACCCCCACTAATTTTAGCCACGAGCCGCCACTGTGCTGGAGTCAGCTCATGCGGCACCAAACTATTGAACTTGTATGTCAAGTTTATACGATGCGTGATTGATGGACATGGCACTAACGTCTAACTCCTTAGCTAGCTCTCGAGTGGTAGCATATTGATCTTCTTCCACATGTTCTCGCAGGAGGGCCTCATCAACATCAGTAGGCTAGCCAGAGTGCTCTGCTTCTTGAATGTCGTAGTCCTTGTTTTTGAACTTTCGATACCAAATCTTCAAGTGTCATATGGTACAACATTAGTACTTAAAGCTATACACATGATTTGGTGATTTTTAGCAACAGAACTGAAAGTAAATGATGATTCTAATGTGGTAGCATGATAGTTCCATTTCGGAAGCCTTCTACTTAATGTTTACGATATTTTTTTCACAATATAGTGTTCTAAAGCAAGTATCTTTCTTTCAAATGCTAAAAATCGTTTGATAAAATATGATTAAACATGCCAACGCGAACTATTTGCGCAGAGGACATTTTCGGTGGCGGAAAACTTTTGTTAAGACCCGATATACAATATAAAACGGATACATTATAAATTAAGTTTATTTTAATTTATATCAATCAAGTAAATTATTAAAAAGTAAAACAAAGGTTTATGTTTTTAACAGTTGTTTTCATTACTTTTAAATCTTCTAATTAATAACCGACTTTTTTAATTAAATGTTAAATTAAAGAACTTGAGCTATCCCGCATGGCAATACATTAAGAACTGATCGCATGCGAAGGCGCTTGAGAATTATGGATCTTAAATACATCGGAGCGGCAACATTTGCCATAAATCAATATTAATTAAAACTCAATTCTGACAATATTAACTCTCTTCTTGAGAAACAAAAATTTTTTACACCTGGAAAAACGGCAGTTATGTTTGTTCATCCTCGAAATCAATAGTTTCATTTAAAATCGATGCCAATCTAAGTCTACATTTTTATTTAAATAGCCGCATGCGCAGCCAACCGTCTTTTAATTATCATAAAAAAGAAATATAGTATAAAAAATTTTAATATTTAAGGATTTTAATGAGTGCAGCTAATGTCATTCTATAAAAATATTTACTATTTCTAATTAGATATGTCGTGAAAAAAAATGTATTTTTATTTAAATCAATCATGTTAAAAGTAGAAAAAACATTCTTAAGAACTGCGTTTATTGCTTTTAAATCACTTGGATTGTTACTGAATATCAAACAGAGTAAATCAAAAGGTTAAATATCTTACGCTGATCTGAATGGCGACATGGACGGACAGTTTGTCGAATGGCAACGGTCTCGCGCGAAGTATTTTATTCGAACAGTACTGCCACTCGTCGATTTCAGATCTCTGAGTTTATTATCAAAATTTACTAAATTTGTGCAGAATGTGATATATACAAAAAAAAAAAAAAAAAAAAAAAAAAAAAAAATTAGAAATTTAAAATTCTGGCCTCGAGGTGCACATGTTCGATTAGAAGATTACCCGTGTTCAAAATTGAGATCTGTTGGAGTCGTTTTCCCGCAGTGTGAGGAACACACAAACAAATTTTCATTATTTAATAGTAGATGGTTTTAAGCATTACGTTCTTTTAACATGCAAGCGAAGAGATATTTTTCACTGTTTTAATTGATTTTCAAATTCCTTTTCTGAATAATCAATTCGACTTTGGATTGCAGACTTTTGGATTGCAGACGCCTTCATATATTTATTTTTTATTTTTTTAAACTTTTTTCCAAATAGTAATATATATTTAAAAGTATTTTTTGTGTTTCTCCTTTGATCAGATTTTATTACGGGTCTATTATACTGGCTGTATCACCTATTTTTGCATAAATGACAATACTGAATATTTTTTAATTTGAAAATTTAAGTATCTACAAAACAAAAGATATAAAATGGCAACAACAAATTTCGATATTTTCTTTTTTAGTGCAAACGATTTAACTGGTTTAAATACAGATTTAGATTTGTTTCGAGCTTTCCAGTTAAGATTTATTTAAACTTCTGGCCACCCGGAGGCGCCATTTTGTTTAAATTCACTTAGTTTCGAATACTTTTGAGAATTTACAGCAGCAGTAAACTTAATGCTGCAACTTTACTGCCCCGACTACATAACAACTTCAAATTTCTCTACAATACGAAGAATATTCCCATTCAAAAATTCGATAAGTTTTAAAACTATTTTCAGATAGAATTGAGAAACAGGTGTACTCACTTTGAAATTTTCTCGACCTTCCGGCTTCGAAGCAACCGAATTCCTCAATCTACTTGCCGACTGAATGTTAAA